ATAATGCATGTAATATTCATATATTAGTATCGCATTATAAAATACAAACATAGCGAATATGCATCTTTACCATAGTTTAAGTTTATAAGATGGTTAGCTGTTTCTCATTCGGTTGTTTATGGCTGTATGCGTTTACGCAACGAGTATAACGTTACTAACGGTCCATTTATCAATCTCTTTTACTTTTTTTTAAAACTCATTTAATTAGAAGATGGGATAAAGAGATAGAAGAAAAAATGTTAGTCTGTTGTAAAAAAGGAACTCCATTTATACACGAGATACATAATAACATGATTTTTTATACGGGATATTTGGGGAGCACGATCGCGTTACACATATATATATATATATATATATATATATATATATATATATATATATATATATATATATATTCAGGGCGACAGGAATCTAGGACGCCCAAGGCAAAGATAAAAGACAAGAGCTACTTGTCAGTTGTCAATATACAACATGTCACTCTGGAGCGCATAGCCTTGGAGCGGGTAGAATGGAGATTAACGTGTTTTAGTGGACTCAGTAGTTTTCAATCTGCTTGTCCGAATCGTCTTCAAGAAGCGAGAGCAAGATCTAAAAGGTCAGACAATCTAATAGTGATCTCATCCCACAATCCTCACTCTTGCTCTATATGTAAGTCACTATGGGTCTTAATGCCACAAAATTATCGCACACAATTTCAGAACTGAATCAACTGGTTAAGTTGTCGGACCGTCATACGTCGAAATCGACAGGAGAGTCCATTATATATATATATATATATATATATATATATATATATATATATATATCCCTATTAGGGATTAGCTAGCCACCATAGTAGATGGGTATCCTCGAATACCATCTGCTGTTTTTATATATTGATATATTGTTCCAATATGTACAGTTTGTCCGATGGGATGTCATACAGGAAAGTTCATCAGAACAATTACCATGAAAGTATTTATAGAAAAGGCACAGGGAAGCTACATTAGGACGGTGGGTAGATGATTGAAGCTGAGATACAAAGTCAGGACCAATGGTACTAATTGTGTATTTGGGCAGCAATCAAGATTCAATATTATATTCTGGCAAACGTACAAAACCTTATTTTGGGGCATCGCTCGGAATCAAAGATCATTTGGACAGTTCTTACACGGTCTATTTCCAAAAAAGAAATCCCTCGTGCGCATTCAAGGGAAATATAATAAGATGTTTAAGAGCAGGTGCCAAATTAAGAGCGACGATGACGTTTTAGAGAAAATAGAAACAAAAAGGACAACATATACTTAAGATCAGGAAAAGACAGTTGAAATTTCCAGGGCACATAATAAGAAAAGAGAGCTTGGAAAATAAAACACACACAAGACAAATTGTAGGGCAGAGAGGGACAATAGGGAAACAGCGCATATAAGATGAGAGACAAAAAATAGTAGAGACATGATCGCTAACGTCCAGAAGGCACACGGCATATAGAAGAACCCATCTTCAATGAAACGAACTCGACTGGAATGCGAAATCGGCTCTTCGATTCCTCAATCCGAGCCAATGTCTATTGCTCCAGCTTGGACTCTCTCCTCACTATATATATATATATATATATATTTATATATATATATATATATATATGAATGAAAAAATGACAATAAGAAAACAATGTGGACTTTATCAAAGCAAAATACGAAAATGAAATTAAGTGAATAAAGTAACGAATAAAAACAACAACAGAATGTTCCTAGCAACTGGAATGTAGAGAAACACTATTTTCATATTTTTAACTGAAAAATAACGTCAGTATTTGTCCCGTGTGGAGAATATTGTCATTATATCTGTGTTGATTTATTCAACCTTTTTCTTTTGATTTTATGAATCTGTTGTGTATATTTGTTTGTAAGAGCATTAATTTTGTTAAGACAGGTAAAATGGGGAAAAAACCTGGGCGTAGATTAATATTTGGGTAATTTTCTATGGCGGCACTCTCCAGAATTTTCCTTCTGAGTGAATTATTTTCTTTTTTTATGAGTGTAGAATTTTTAAAATCAAAATGATTGTTGCCGCCATAGAAAATTACCCAAATATTAATCTACGCCCAGGTTTTTTCCCCATTTTACCTTTCTTAACAAAATTAATGCTCTGACAAACAAATATACACAACAGTTTTAGTTAAGGCTTTTACATTTATAAAAATACAATTTTTCATGTGTACGAATATTTTTCCCCCACTATATATATATATATATATATATATATATATATATATATAGGTTGTAGCTATTTTATGGTGCTTCGGATTCTGTCTCAGACGATAAACAACAACAATGGTTGGATAACTCGGTTGTCTTCGGTCTGCCATTGTTAAACGAAACACTTCTCAGTTAACTAACTACTACACGCGTTAAACGTTGAAGACAGAATAGCTACAAATGTACACGAAAGACAAATGTGACCTTGTCTACATAGCAACACAGCGCCATCTACCATAAACTTTCTTTACCTTAACTCGAAAACGAAGTATTTGCAGACATATTATAAGAACTTTTGTCCTTGTTTTGGTGTGAGGAACCCGTCCCCAAAGTTTATAAAGTACTTTTGATACACCATATATATATGTATATATATATATATATATATATATATATATATATATATGTGTGTGTGTGTGTGTGTGTGTGTGTGTGTGTGTGTGTGTGTGTGTGTGTGTGTGTGTGTGTGTGAAAATATAAAGAAAATAGTATTTTATCATATATTTAAATATATATATATATATATATATATATATATATATATATATAAATTATTAGGGGATTTGAATATTTCAGTCAAGTTTCGATCTTAGGTAGAGTCAATCGGTCGTCTACCCACACTGATCAGCTGTGATACTGAGAAACAGTGTGTTTGTGGATGACAAACTATGCTTCTGAAAAATTATTTCGCTTGAAATCTCGGGGGAGAAAGCGTGAGTTTGTAAACAGTGACTATTACTGCTACTAACGCAATATTGTTCGAAAAAAACGAATCGAGTTCTCTCAGTCACTGGCGTATTTATCTAAAAATAAATACGCTTAAAATTACTTTCATCCCTCCGTTCGCCAACGTCATAGGGGTAGAATCTCTGCTTGACGCCAACTAAATATTATTTAATAATATATTTAATACTATTTTAATAATATAAATATTATCATTCTAATAATATTTTTTATTATTATTTCAATAATATAAACATTATTATTTCAATAATATATTTAATATTATTTTAATAATATAAATATTATTATTTTAATATGTTTATATTATTTTAACAATATAAATTAATATTATTTAATAATATTTTTAATATTATTTTAGTAATATAAACATTATTTTACTAATACTTTTTAATATTATTTCAGTAATATAAACCTTATTATTTTAATAATATTTTTAATATTAGTTTAATAATTAACAATAAATATCATTATTTTAGTAATGTTTTTAAAATTCATTTATTAATATAAAAAAATGTTATTATTTTAATAATATTTTAAATATTATTTTAATAATATTCAATAAATATTATTTTAGTAAAATTTTTAATATCTTTTTAATAATATTAAAATGTTAAATTCATTATCATTATGCTAGAAAATTTAATTTAAGCCATGCTATAAGGTTACAAGGGACGTAGAAAATGTAAATATAATATTGGACTCTGAGGTCAACACAGAATGGTGATATTCTGTTTCATGCTTGAACGCAAGCTTCACACTATATTTGTTGTTTTTGCCTGACTATTTATATATGCTGGAAAAAGGTGCAATATGGGTAGCAAGGTCTATTGTATTAACCTAATGGTTATTGTATAACTGTAACGGTTAGTTTCAAATTATTCTAGAGGTTTGTTGCTGGCTTCCTGAAATACCCACAATCAACTTGGCCGACTCAGAATATGGGTCCACGTAAAAAACAAAAAACAACAACAAAGACCAATATATATGTACAAACAAATGATGGGTGCTGGAGAGAGAAGAGGATTCATAACTTTCCCAAGAGTATTAGCACGTAAGTGAATGTTATGGATTCGACTGGAATTCGAACTCGGCTCTCCGATTCCTCAATCTAAGCCGCTAATCATTAATCGAATGTAACAACCTATAAGAAAGAAATATATATGCTAAAATTTTAATTTAAGGCATGCTATATTTATTTATTTTATATATATATATATATATATATATATATATATATATAAGACTGATTCCATCACGAAGGCGATTATTAGTCTGAAGAAGTCTCTTATCGGAACTTAACGTGTCACTTATATCATTTCTACCACATTATTTCTCCACCCGTGATTTTTCTGATAACGAAAGAAGAAAATATATGTTCGGAGGGAAAGAGAGAGAGAGAGAGAGAGAGAGAGAGAGAGAGGGGGGAGAGAGAATAGGGAGGAAAAGAAATGAGAAAAAAAATAAATGCTCCACCACCATGTAATGGCTTGCAATGTTATCTCCATCAGTGTGATCTCTCTGTCAAAAGTCTTTATTCTTCAGGGTTAAGGGCCACATTTATTCGCACATAATGTTCTTTTGTATTTTATGAGTGTTTTTTTTTATTTATGTACCATGGCGTATTGTTCCATCCTTCCTTGCATCCTTTTTGTAGTTTCTATTTTTGGCTTTTTGTCTTTCTTTCATTCTTTCCATCCTTACTAACTTCCTTTCGTCTTTCCTTCCGACTTTTCTTCCTAAACCATTTATTAGTATCCTTTTCTTTTATCCTTTTGTTTTTAAATCGTTTTCTTTTCCTTTCTTCTTTCCTCCTACCCTTCCTTCCTCCCTTCTTTCTTTGCTTACTTCCTACGCTCCTTCCTTCCTTGTTTTCTTTTTTTCATTGTTTTTTCTTTTATTCTTTCCATCCTTACTAACTTCCTTCCTTCTTTTCTTTTCTTTCTTTCTTTCTTCTTTCCCTCCTCTCTTTCTTCCTCCCTTCTTTCTTTCCTCCCTTTCATTACTTCCTTCCTTCCTTAGTTCCTTCCTTGTCTTCTTTTTCCATTGTTTTTCGTTCATTCTTTCCATCCTTAATAACTTCCTTCCTTCCTTCTTTCCTTTCTTTCTTTCTTTCTTCTTTCCCTCCTTCCTTTCTTCCTCCGTTTTTTCTTTCCTCCCTTTCCTTACTTCCTTCCTTCCTTAGTTCCTTCCTTAGTTCCTTTCTTGTTTTCTTTTTCCATTGTTTTTCTTTTATTCTTTCCATCCTTACTAACTTCCTTCCTTCTTTCCTTTCTTTCTTTCTTCTTTCCCTCCTCCCTTTCTTCCTCCCTTCTTTCTTTCCTCCTGTTTTTTCCTTCGTGCTTTCTTTCTTTTTTCCTTCTTTTTTCCTTATTCGATTTCTTTTTGCTCTTTTGTTTTTCTTTCATTCTTTTCATCCTTAATAATTTCCTTTCTTCTTTTATTTCTACTTTTCCCGACAGATTTTGTCAGTATCTTTTTTTTTAATTTTTTCTTTTTTCGTTCGTTTCGTCTACCTTTCTTTCCTGCCTTGATTTGATTTTTTTTTTATTCTTTCCTTTTGTCTTTTATTCATTTCGTCCGTACTAATTTTCTTTCCTAATTCCTTCTTACTTTTTCCTACACCTTTATGTAGCATCCATTTCATTCTTTCTTCGTCCTTTCTTTTTTGTCGACCATTTTCTCTTTCGTCCTTCCTCATGACCAATTCTTTTAAGACTATGAACGTAGCTTTCATCTTTCTAGAAAGATCTTCGTTTTTCTTGCTTTCTACATCTAATTTTTTTCTTTTCTTCCTTTTTTCTTTTTATTTCTTTATTTATTTTCTTATTTCTTTCTTTCGATTTTTCTTTTTCGTCTTTCTTCTTTTTCTTTCTTTTTTACTTTCCTTCTTTTTCCCTTTTTTTTCGATCATTCTTTCATCCTTCCTTCCTTTCTTCCTGTTTTTGTTTTCATACTGATTTGAAGTTTTTAATTTTTTAAAAATTCCCATTTTCCTTTATAATTTTAAATTGTCCTTTTCTTTCTTTCTTTCTTTCTTTCTTTCTTTCTTTCTTTCTTTCTTTATTTATTTATTTATTTCTTTGTCCCTTTTTTCGATCATTTTCTCTTTCGTCATTCCTTCCTTCCTGCTTTTGTTTTCATGCTGATTTGAAGTTTTTAAATTTTAAAAATCCCCATTTTCCTTTATAATTTTAAATTGTCCTTTCTTTCTTTCTTTCTTTCTTTCTTTCTTTCTTTCTTTCTTTCTTTCTTTTCGATCATTCTTTTTTCTTTCCTTCCTTTATTCCTTCTTGTTTTAGTTTTCATGATGAAATTTGAAGTTTTTTAATTCTTAAAAAATCCCCATTTTCCTTAATAATTTTAAATTGTTCCTCTTCCATTCATGACCAATTCTTTTAAAACTATAAACGTAGCTTTCATCTTTCTACAAAAATCTCCGTTTTTCTTTCTTTCTACTTCTAATTTTTTTTTCTTTTCTTCCTTTTTTTTCTATTTTTCTATCTATTTCTTTCTTTCGATTTTTCTTTCTTTCTTTCTTTCTTTCTTTCTTTCTTTCTTTCTTTCTTTCTTCTCCGGATTTGCGAAACCGTTATTTTTCCATTTTCGCATCTCTTTTACATAATCCCACTAAACGACCTGCCCTCTGCCGACAACTCAAAATTCTCCAGCGTTCTCACGCCTCTGACCCTAACCCTAACCCAGTCGTATCTATGAACCTTGAACCCCTCAACGCTTATTCATAACCCCTTGCTTAACCCCCCTTTCTCTCTCTCTCTCTCTCTGCCATTTTATTTCTTAGTTTTATTGTAAATTTTATTTATTTTTCGCTTTTTGATTTATTTTTCATCATCCCCTACTTCATTGACTTTCTCATCTTGAAGAAATCTTAACTTTTCGCTTCCATTTCTTTATTCGTTTTATTTCTTAATATATATATATATATATATTACTTTTGTTTTCTTAAAAAAAGAATCAACAACAACAAAACAAAAAACTTATGGTCCTTCTGCTGTTTGTTCTTTTTTTCGTTTTTTATCTTTCTCTTCTTGACATTTGCTTATTCTTCGAACGATTTCAACGCTTTTGACTTTTGCCTTGTTTTTCTCTCTAAGTCGTTTTAGTCTTTCCTTCTTTTTCGTTCACTGTTTTTCTTCGTCTTTGGGTTTGTTTCCATTATTTTTCGCTTTTCTCTTTCTTTTTTCCTGCTGCTGGTATTCTATTTTTCTTTCTTTTTTTTTTTCCTCTCGTCAAGTGTTTCTCTTGTTCTTTCTTTCTTTTTTTTTTCTTTAACTTGCAAGTTTTCCCTCGCGTCCAATTGCTCTCCGTCTTTACTCTTTTTTTCATTCCTCCTTTTTTTCCTTTTAAGCTTCTTTCTTTTTTTCTTTCTTTCTGTCTTTCTTTCTTTTAATTTTCTTTCTTTCCTTCTTTTAATTTTCTTTCTTTCGCTTTAATTTTTTTCTTTTAATTTTCTTACTTTCTGTTTTCTTTCTTTCTTTCGGCCTTTTCTCCATTTTTTGTAATTTCTTTCTTTCTTTCTTCTTTTTTTCTTTCTTCTATTTTTTGTAATTTTTTTCTTTCTTTCTTTCTTTCTCCATTTTTTGTAATTTCTTTCTTTCTTTTAGTTCTCTTTATTTCTGTCTTTCTTTCTTTTAATTTTTTCTTTCGTTCTTTTAATTTTCTTTCTTTCGCTTTAATTTTTTCTTTTAATTTTCTTCCTTTCTGTTTTCTTTCTGTCTGTCTGTCTGAGTTTCTTTCTTTCTTTCTTTCTTTCTTTCTTTCTTTCCTCCATTTTTTGTAATTTCTTTCTTTCTTTCTTTCCGCCATTTTTTGTAATTTCTTTCTTTCTTTCTTTCTTTCTTTCTTTCTTTCTTTCTTTTAGTTCTCTTTATTTCTGTCTTTCTTTCTTTTAATTTTTTCTTTCGTTATTTTAATTTTCTTTCTTTGATTCTTTTAATTTTCTTTCTTTAGCTCAATTTTTTTTATTTTAATTTTCTTCCTTTCTGTTTTCTTTCTGTCTTTCTTTCTTTCTTTCTTTCTTTCTTTCTTTCTTTCTTTCTTTCTTTCTTTCTTTCTGTTAGTTCTCTTTATTTCTGTCTTTCTTTCTTTTAATTTTTTCTTTATTTCTTTTAATTTTCTTTCCTTTAATTTTCTTTCTTTCTTCCTTTTAATTTTCTTTCTTTTGCTTCAATTTTTCTTTTAATTTTCTTCCTTTCAGTTTTCTTTCTGTCTGTCTTTCTTTCTATCTTTATCTATTTCTTTTAATTCTCTTTATTTCTTTCTTTCTTTTATTTTTTCTTTCTTTCTTTCTTTTAATTTTCTTTCTTTCGCTTCAATTTCTTTCTTTTAATTGTCTTTCTTTATGTTTGTTTGTTTGTTTCTTTCTTTCTTTTTTGTAACCTTTTTCCTTTCTCCCCTTAATTTCCTTTCTCTGTTTTTCTTTCTTTTTAAAATTTCATTTTAAATTTCTCATCTGTTATTCAGGAATTCTTCATTTTGTTTTTTTGTCACCAAATTCTTTTGCAGTTTTTCTTTCTTTGAGTTTTCCCCGTTTTTTCCCTCTTTCTTAATTTGAATATTTCCTTCTTCAGAATACAACTTTTACTCCATCCACTTATTCCTTAGTTTTCACTGTCTTTCTTTCTTTCTTTCTTTCTTTCTTTTTCTTTCTTTTTCAGTTGATATATAGTTTCTTTCATTCCGTCGATAAATTTTTTCTTTTCTTTCTTTCTTTTTTTCTTTCTTTCTTTCTTTCTTTCTTTCTTTCTTTTCAGTTGATATATAGTTTCTTTCCTTCCGTCGATAAATTTTCCTTTTTTTTTTCTTTCTTTCTTTTTCTTTCTTTCTTTCTTTCTTTTCAGTTGATATAGGTTTTCTTTCCTTCCGTCGATAAATTTTCCCTTTTTTCTTTCTTTCTTTCTTTCTTTCTTTCTTTCTTTCTTTTCAGTTGATATATAGTTTCTTTCATTCCGTCGATAAATTTTCCCTTCTTTCTTTCTTTCTTTCTTTCTTTCTTTCTTTCTTTCTTTCTTTCTTCCTTTCTTTCTTTTCAGTTGATATATAGTTTCTTTCATTCCGTCGGTAAATTTTTCCTTCTTTCTTTCTTTCTTTCTTTCTTTCTTTCTTTCTTTCTTTCTTTCTTTCTTTCTTTCTTTTCAGAGGTAATAAATTTTACCATTCTCTTGTTTCGTCCCTTTTCTTCTTTTTTCTTGTTTGTTTATTTCATGTTTTTTCTTTCTTTCGTTTTTTCTTTATTCTCTACTTCTTCCATCCATTCCTTTTCACTTTCCTTCTTCTTTTTCTTTATTAATTTTGTTTCTTTCATAAAGTCTTTCATTTTTTAATTTTCTGCTCCTTTATTTTGCTCGTTTCGTTTTTTATTTTCTTTCTTTCTTTCATTCATTATTTCTTTCTTTCTTTTAATCATCGTTTTATTCTTTCTTTTTCTTTTCTTTTTTTTTTTGGTCATCTATTTATTCGTTCTTTTTTTCTTTTCTTTCTTTCTTTCATTATTTCTTTCTTTCATTCTTTCTTTCTTTCTTTCTTTCTTCCATCCATCCATCTTTTTATTGTTTGTTTGTGTGTTTCAACTATCCTTTACTTTTTCTTTCATTCTTTCTGCCATCATTCTATTCTTGTTTCTTGCTTTCTATTTCATTCATTCATTCTTTCTTTTTTCTTTCTTTCAATCACATTTTTATTCTTTCTTTATTTCTTTATTTTTCTTTCTTTCTTTCTTTCAACTTTTTTCTTTTTCTTTTCTGTCTTTCTTTCCTTTTTCTTTCTTTCTTATAAACATAGTTTTATTCTTTCTTTCTTCTTTCTTTCTTTATTTTTCTTCCTTTCTTTCTTTTGTTTTTTCTTTCAGCCCTTTTTTCATTCTTTCTTTCTTCATTTCTTTTTTCTTTCTTTCTTTCAATCATCTTTTATTCTTCCTTCTTTCTTTCCTTATTTGCCTTGTATGTTTCTTTCTTTCTTTTTTTTTTTCTTTCTTTCTTTCTTTCTTTCTTTCTTTCTTGTTTTACCTATATTCATTATTTTTGTTTATCCTTTAATTCATTCCTTTATTCATTTTTTTTTTTCTTTTCGTTCTGTCTTCATTTCAGGTGTGATAAATTTTTGACCATCTTCTCATCTGTTTTCAGTTTTCTTATTTCGTTCGTTTTCCCATCGTTTTTTCATTTGGTCTGTTTTTCTCTTCAACCTTTTCTTCCACGTTTACTACCCCCCCCCCTCATCTCTTGCCTCTTTTATGTTTGATAGCCAAGCAGCAAATTTAATAAACACACGTCGCACACGCACAACGGCCAGCGGCCTGTGCTTTTCTGTTGTCGCGGCATTCTGCGGTTGGTAGAATTTGCAAGTCTGTGGTTGATAGCCCTCGGACGTAAACGAGACAAGAAAGAGAGAGAAAGAGAGAGAGGGAGAGGGAGAGAGAGGAAGAGAATTTAGATTGATTGGACAACTTATTCGCTATTCTGTAGTTGACATTTCTCGGTCATGAGAAAGAGATTAGAGAGAGAGAGAGGAGAACATCTTCGCTCTTCTGTACTTGATAGACCTCAAACGTGTGTGTGAGAGAGAGAAAAAAGAAGAGAGAGAGAGAGAAAAGAGAAGTGACACAGAGGACAACTGTTCGCACTCTCGTAGTTGATAGACCTCGGTGGTGAGAGAGAGAGAGACATACATACAGATACAGAATATAAAGACAGTGATAGATAGATAGATAGATAGATAGATAGATAGATAGATAATAGGAATCGGTCATGAGAGACAAACATACAGATAGAGAAAATAAAGAGACTGTGATAGATAGATAGATAGATAGATAGATAATGAACAGACTGAGATAGATATATAGATAGATATGAAGGGACTGAGATGTAGTGGTTTCACAGTGGAGGCTTCTATTTGTACTAAGTCGGTCCTAAAATAGGTTCGACGTACAAAACGTTAGGAACTTGATATAATAGGTAATGACGCAGCAATCTAGTTGTGGTGGCTGGTACTTTAATATCTGACTAACTGTCGTCCGATATCGACTGACTGACCAACTCTCTCCGACTGACTTGTTACTCTTGCTACTCCTACTTATTATAGGTAGGAGAGTCTATTAACAATAGAATAGGTGTGTTTCGCTATAATAGATAGATAGATAGATAGATAGATAGATATGAACATAATGAGATAGATAGATAGATAGATAGATAGATAGATAGATAGATAGGACTGCATATTTGCTCTTCTGTAGTAAAATAGATAAACGAGAAAGCAAGAGAAAGAAAGAGAAGTCAATTTCTGTATTTGATAGTTAGCGAACGTCTGAGAGAGAGAGAGAGAAGGAGAGAGAGGGAGAGAGGGGGAGAGAGATAGAGATAGAGGGGGAGCGAATTTTCCAAAATTTAAATCCACCATGCGTTCTCTATTTCCAATCTTCTGGTTACCTTCAGTTGCACTCATAGACAGAGAAAAGTAACTTTTGCGGAAATACCGTATCAATTTAAATATACAAGGCCCGGCCGAACCCGCATCAGCACATGGTAACGTATACTTTGTCTTGCGATTCCGCGACGTGTCGTGTCTCCTATGATCTCGACATGATCATTGTTAATAACATAAACTGAATTACTAAAAAGAGACAGCCGTAGTCTAGATTCTTTTGCCCACCCCTGTTTCAAATAAAAAAATACCCACTGATCTGCGTTTATCGTAATAGGTAAAGATCTAGTGTAACTGTGGCACTCATGGGATACGAACTTGATTTAACACTGAACGCAGAATGATTGTTGGGGTCTTAAAGCTTAGGCATACTATATCCAAGGTGACAACTTTTTTTTTATTTTTGGTTTCTCGGGTCATAGCCACCCATTGTGCATATGCAATGAGTTCGATCCTCACTGCAGGCTACGCTGCGGTTGCTTAGTTTTTGCCTGGTATATATAGTACAGCGTCAAGCATATAGAAGTAAACCAATAAATCCGTTGCATAATAATGAAAATAGTTTTTATTTGATACAATAATTATTTACTTTTTCAAGTGAATCTATTTATAAAGCCACTAGGACCCAATAGGTTACTAAATGTTAGAGAATATAAGATAAAAACTACCGATAAAGAGAGAGGACAATGAAATAATAAGGATTAAGAAGATAGAAGATAACGATTGACATTGCATTTAAATTTTTGAAGATCAAATTTCACCGAGATGCAAGAAGCCGAAAGAGAGATCAGCAAGCGAAAAGTGCGATAGAAGAAACTGTTAGCATAGAACTTACGGTTGCATCTAGCCAATTCGAACGCAAAATGCTGCCAATCTAGTACTGAGCCTAAATTCATAAATTCTACTTCCTTGTCAATGAACATAATGGGGTGTTAGATATCAATTAATGTATCTGTTGTAGAGTAGTTTTCACAGTGGAGGCCTGTATTTCAATCAGTCGTCCTAAATTATGTTCGACGTACAAAACGTTAGGAACTTGAAATAAGAGTTAATGACGCAGCAAATCTAGTTGTGATGGATGATACTCCAATGTCCGACATCGACTGACTCACTCAACACCACTGAGCCCAACTGGCGACCGCTACTACTACTACTTATTATTATGTGTGGGAGAGTCCATTAACAATAGAATAGGTACGTCAGGTATAATAGTGTCTAAAATGACTCTCGGCTTTATAACAATCCTACACTAGACCACCACTTAGTATTTTTTTAAACAAAACTCACCGCCGATTATTTAAATAAATTGAAATAAAATCAATTCTAGAAGAATCCTACTCTCTTTTTGTTATACTGGAACACACCTATTCTATAATTAATAGACTCTCCCACATACAATGAATAGTAGTAGCAGTCGCCAGGGAGCTCAGTGAGTTGGTCAGTCGATGTCGGACATTAAAGTATCAACTACCATAACTAGATTTCTCTGCATCATTAACTATTATTTCAAGTTCCTAACGTTTTGTACGCCGAACTTTTTTAGAACCGACTTAGTGAAATACAAGCCTCCACTGTGGAACTACTCTATAACAACTTTGACGACCAGGATTCGAAACTCATACAGAAGAAAAAATTAAAAAAAAAAAAATATTCGTTTGCCATAAACAACTAAATGACGAAGGATTTGTTCTCATACGGAGGAAAAAAAAATTTTTTTCGTTAATTCTGGTTACAACACTTGACATTATTTTTCAGACGTGGTTGACAAAAGTCCTGGAAAAAAAAAAAAAAAGGTTGATGTCTGGGATTTCCAAAAAACGTTTGATCTAACAACGCCTGTCATATATTTTTGAGATTCCAGAAAAAAAAAAAAAAAATTTTTGCAACTGATCAAAAAAAACGTTTGGCCTCAAGGACACCTGGATAAAAATTTTTTTTTTGTAAAAAATGAAAATAAATAAAATTCCTTTTTAACAGATGAGATTTAGAGGCAGGATTAGCAGGAGATGTTATAACTGACAACATACCTATTCTATTGTTAATAGACTCTACCCCATATAATAAAGTAGTAGCGATTCGCAGGAAGTTGGTCGGTCATTCAATGTCGGACAGCGTTGTGACAACCACCACAACTAGATTTCTCTGCGTCATTGACTATTATTTCAAGTTCTAACGTTTTGCCGTCGAATCTTTTTAGTAAATGTAAATACAAGCTTTTTCATTGTGAAACTGTTGTGTCTGACTCTTCCAATTTTTCAGAACCACCGGCTGTTCAACATTCCATATTTATTAGATTATCAAAAAAATATTCCAACCACCTCGCTTATTTAAACCTTTATCCTTAGGTATGACGATAAGCATCGTTTGATTGGGCATGGAGGTTTTTTTTTTTTTAACCACCTCTTAATTGATGCTGTTCCCAGGTCCAGCCTGAATCCAGAGTGGTAGCACCTGTTAGGGTAACAGTTATGTGAAATTATGAGGTCCCAAATAAAAAGAAAAAAAATCTGGGAAAGTATAAAAATATTTTTTTCTATAAAAAAAAAAATTATCAACTAAACCTATTTATAGTATAATAGCAGCATGGCCCGGCGTTGCCCGTGCTTGATTCAAAAATCGTACGACTCATAGAGCAATCATTTGACTTAAAATATTTTTACCTTTCCTTGAGTTTTTAAAAGAGTGCCCTTTGCCGTGCTGATGTACTACATGCCTTACTTCTTGCCCTATCTCACACTGCGAATTTTCTTAAGCTCTGATACTAAAAAAAATCTGATACGAAAAAAGAACTAAACAAAATGAACACAAAACGATCAGCTTTAAAAAGGACTCGTAACTGGAAAACCGAATGAAAAAGAATGTTAACAACAAATACTTTTCACACCGAATCCAGTTCTGCGGAATCAGAATCAACGTTGAGTTTAAACCAAGCTACCAATTGGATTAAAGTGCCATGCAGATTTAAATGTTTCCACTTGTGACGAATGTAGCTATCGATTTTTTTGCATGTTAGTTAACATTCGTGTCTGTTAGCTCTCACGCTGGCCAGTAGAATCTTCCTGCCTATTCGTGGCAGCCAGCTATAGGCTCTCACTCTGGCCAGTAGAAAATGGTCGCAAACTACATGAAACTGCCGGAGAAGCATGAAAAAAATCGATTATTTTCATTATCGATGGGAGTTGAATGCAACGTCGGTCTTGGCCTTATTTTTTATATTGGAGCATGTAGATTTTGGTGCAAATCCATCGAAAATTGCGGCCGTGCATTCGTCACACACACACAGACACACACACACACACACACACTGCCTTTTATAGATAGAGATATTTAATTGAAGTCATAAAATTGTGTTCAAAATATTTAGATTTCGGCATTAAAAACGCCATAGAGGTTGGTATGACGCTAGACAAAAAGTTGAGAGTTGATTTTCTTATTGATTTCAACTTTCACTCATTCTTTCTTTCTTTTATGTTCTATATTTTTATGTTTTTTAATCTTTAATATTTTTAATATTTAATTTTTAATCTTTAACCCTTTAATCTCTTTAAACTTTAATTTTTCAATCTTCAATCTTTTTAATCTTTAATCTTTTTTAAATTTTAATTTTTTAAACTTTAATCTTTTTCATCTCAAGTCTTTTTTAAACTTTAATCTTTTAGTCTTTACTCCTTTTTGAAATTTAATCTTTGACCTATTGAATCTTTAATCTGTTTAAACTTTAATTTTTCAATTTTTAATCATTTTTATCTTAATCTTTTTAAAAAATTTAATTTTTTAATCTTTAACCTTTTTAATATTTTTTAAATTTTTTTTTTAATTTTAATCTTTTTAATCTTTGATCTTTTAATGTTTTCAAATTTAATTTCTTAATCTTTTTAATCTTTGGTCATTTAAAACTTTCATTTTTTTAATCTTTAATCTTTTTAAACTTAATTTTTTTAATCTTTTTTAATTTTTACTCCTTGATCCTTTTAATCTCGATTTTTTTAAACTTTGATTTTTTAATCTTTACTCTTTTTTGCTTTAATTTTTTAATCTTTAATCTTTTTAATCTTTAATTTTTTAAACTTTTTTCATCTTTAATCTTTTTAATCTTTGATTTTTTAAAAATCTTTAATCGTTTTAATCTTTAATCTTTTTATAACTTTCTTCCTTTCCCCTTTTTTAAATTTTTTTCCTCTCACTTTTTCCTTTTCTACTGTTCTTCTTCCTCTCTTTTTATCCATACTTCGTTAATTTCTTTTCCTCTTCTTTCTATTCTTTTCTTTCTTTTCCTCTTCTTTCCTTTCCTTTTCCTTTTCTTTTTTCCCTTTCTTTCCTTTCTTTTTCTTCTTTCTTTTTTCCTTTCCTTTCTTTTCCTCTCCTTTCCTTTTCTTTTCTTTTTTTCCTTTTCCTTTTCCTTTTTTTTTCCTTTCCCTTTTCCTCCTTTTTTTTCCTTTTTTTCTTTTCCTTTTGATTTCCCTTTCCTCTTCTTTCTTTCCCTTCCTTTTCTTTTCCTTCTTTCCTTTTCCTAAAAAAGTTTTTTCCTTTTCCTTTCCTTTTTTCCTCTTCTTTCTTTCCTTTTCCTTTCTTTTCTCTCCTTTCCTTTTCCTTTCTTTCTTTCCTTTTTTTTCCTTTCTTTTCCTCTTCTTTCTTCCCTTCCCTTTCTTTTCCTCTCCTTTTCCTTTTCCTTTTCTTTCTTTTCCTTTTCATTTCCAAACGAATTTCTGCTTTCCTTTCTTTCTTTCTTCCTTTCCTTTCTTTTCCTTTGGTCCAAACTTTTCCTTTTCCTTTTCCTTTCTTTTCCTCTTCTTTCTTTTCCTTCCTTCCTTTCTTTCCTTTCCTTTTTTTTTTTTTTTCTGTTCAGTTTTTTCTTTCTTTTCCTTTTCCTTTCCTTTTCTTTTCCTCTCCTTTCCTTTTTGTTCTTCCTTTTTCCTTTCTTTTCCTTTCTTTTCCTTTTTCTTTCTGTTTCTTTTCTTTTTCTTCCCTTTCCTTTTCTTTTTCTTTCTCCTCCCTTTTTTTTTCTTTTCTTCTCCTCTCTTTTCTTTTTCTTTCTTTTTCTCCTTTCCTTTTTTCTTTCTTTCCTCCTTTCCTTTTTTTCTCTTCTTTCCCTTCCTTTTTCTTTTCCCTCTCATTCTCCTTTTTCTTTTTCTTTTCCTTTTCCTTTCCTTTCTTTTCCTCTTCTTTCTTTCCTTTCCTTTCTTTTCCCTTTCCTTTTCCTTTTCTTTTCCTTTTCCTTTCAGTTCCTTTCTTTCCTCTTCTTTCTTTCCCTTCCTTTCCTTTCTTTTCCTCTCCTTTCCTTTTCCTTTTCTTTCGTTTTCCTTCTCCCTTTCCTTTCTTTTTTCTTCTCCTTCCTTCTTTCTTTTCCTCTCCTTTCCTTTTCCTTTTCTTTCTTTTCCTTTTCCTTTCCTTTCTTTTCCTCTTCTTTCTTTCCCTTCCTTTTCCTTTCTTTTCTTCTCCTTTCTTTTCCTTTTCTTTCTTTTCCTTTTCCTTTCCTTTCTTTTCCTCTTCTTTCTTTCCTTTCCTTTCTTTTCCTCTCCTTTCCTTTTCCTTTTCTTTCTTTTCCTTTTCCTTTCCTTTCTTTTCCTCTTCTTTCTTTCCCTTCCTTTCCTTTCTTTTCCTCTCCTTTCCTTTTCCTTTTCTTTCTTTTCCTTTTCCTTTCCTTTCTTTTCCTCTTCTTTCTTTCCCTTCCCTTTCTTTTCCTCTCCTTTCCTTTTCCTTTTCTTTCTTTTCCTTTTCCTTTCCTTTCTTTTCCTCTTCTTTTCTTTTCCTTTTTGTTAAAAGACGCCACAATCTCAGCCATGAGCCTATTTCCTACTTGATATCAATTTTTCTACTTTAAATTTGATTCATTCAAAAGCCCTTTAAATATCTATTGGCCAAATTCGTAGGGCACTTAGGAAATGACGAATTACAAGCCAGGGTTTTCAAGATTAATATGTTAGCAACAGCCCTCAAAAGCGAGGGCTGTTGCTAAATCTCTCGAGTTTTCATGCTTGGATTAAAAAGAGGGCAGCAAACACTTTCTTAACCGGATTTAATGACTAGAATCTGATATTGGTCTCTCCTTGCTTAGTCAGCAGAGCATTATCCCAGAAATCCGTCATTCTGTGATTACTCCCAGCGTTTATAAGGCATTTATTCGCTCACATGACTAAAAAAAAAAAAAAAAAAAAAAAAAGGAAAAGAAAAGAAAAGTAGTCCACTTCATTATTATCAATATTAAATGAGCAACGTGCCAAAAAAGTGACGCCGGGATTAAAAAAAAAAAAAAAAATTTGTAGGAAGCCTTATGTATTCATCATGACATTCAAGCTGGGGTACAAAAATACGAATGCCAATAAATCCCTCATGACACCGAAGTTTATAAATGTATACCAGATACATGCATCACAGCCAAATGTGTATGATATCGTGATAGGTTCCTTCTTCATCATCTCCTGATTATTATTATTATTATTATTATTATTATTATTATTATTATTATTGAGAGAGAGTCCTGCCAAAAGTTTTTATATCCTGTCTTCAAAGATATTTTGCAGCGTAAAAAGTTAAACTGAGATAGCAAATTGTATGATATGTATATATATATATATATATATATATATATATATATATATTTATATATATATTTATTTATATATATATATCTATATCTATCTATCTATCTATCTATCTATATATATATATGAAATGGACAAAGTCTGACAATTATTTTAAGACATTTTTATGTTTATACGTTCTTTTCTTTATAGATACAAGTGTTATTTACGTAAATGCTCTGTTTATACAAATATTTAAGCAGATGCTCTGTTTATAATAAACAGTATTAACGACAGTTACCGGCCTGAATATCCGAGAAATATTCATAGAAAATATGCGTACTCCTATACAGAACCGTCATATAGCCGGACGTGCTTAACCAATTTAGCCACAGAGGAGCTTTTCCTGTTAGCAATTTCGATTTTACTGTTTTTAAACAACAGTTCTCCATGGTTTTCTCTCGTACATTCATATCTGCTCGATGCGTATTCAAATGTAAATAAATGACGTCATACATTATGAAATGAACAAAGTCCGACAATTAAGACATTATTTTTGTTCATACGTTCTTTTTTTTTTTTATAGATAAAAATATTTAAGTAAAGGCTCTGTTTATAATAAACAGTATTTACGACATTTACCGGCCTGAATGTCCGAGAAATTTCTGGAGGACGCATATTTTCTATGAAAATTTCTCGGACATTTAGGCCGGTAAATGTCGTTAATACTGTTTATTATAAACAGAGCATTTGCTTAAATATTTGTATCTATAAAAAATAGCGTATAAACATATATATATATATATATATATATATATGGTTAAGCTTTTTATTTGATTTTTCCTGTGTTCGAACATGAGATATCATCTTCTGGGTTAAAATGCTCTCTCTGTCTGTTTTACAAATACTTTCATGGTAATTGCTCCGAGGAGCTGCATTTGCTGGTTCCCAGACTTCATGAGTTCAAGCGCCCTACGAGGCGTGCATCCCGCTCTCACCCCTTCACTGTCGAAACTCCTAAATGTAGCCGTCTCTTCTATCCAATAATTTCATGTCTCGCACCGCTCACCTGTGGAACTCCTTTCCCTATTCAGTTTCTGAGAGCTATAATCTCCAGCTATTCAAATGTAATGTCAATCGACATCTCAGTTGCCTTGGTCTATCCATTACCCTTCTCCTCATCCTTTCTTCTATCCTCCTATCTGATCTTGCTCCAAATTTATGTAACCCCTTGCGTCCAGTGGCTTTTGCCTTGCTTGGGATGAAACGCTTAATATATCTATATCTATCTATCTATATATATATATCTATATATATATATATATATATATATATATATATATATTGACAGCATATCTTTATTGAAACATGTCTCGTTGAATGTTTCTTGATATCGAGACGAATTTCATCAAGGAAGGCGCCGTAGTTTTCTTTTTAATCCAAGTACTTTCGACCTTTTCTAAGATCATCTTCTGGGTTAAAATGCAAAGACAATATATTATAACTGCGATTGACAGGAAAATACCTGTTGACAAATATACATTAGAATCTCCAGAGACTGCCATGTCAATAAGAAAGCCCATTCTGTTTTTGTGGTCTTTGATCACGATGTCTGTGCGATTAGATTTGATTGTTCTGTCTGTGGGTATTTTTAGGGCAAATGCAAGTGTTACATGCCCTATCTCTCTAAGTAGAACTGTATGGTGGTTCATATCTGCTTTTTGCAGTTACCTTCTTGTAAATATTGCATATTTTCCAGTGCAGATATTGGCCCACTCTGTCATGGCGAGTCTTCAGTTGGTGGTAACACTGTGCAACCTGATACAAGATGGTTAATTGTTTCAGGATATTTATCACAGAATCTGCATTTTGGGTGATCAGTTTTTTTCAGTCTCGGTGCTTGGTATTTTTTATTTAGCATCTATTGGTCCTGTGCAGCAAACATAAAACCTTCAGTTGGAACTTTTAACCCTGCATTATGGAACCACTGAGGAGTACGGGGTTTGTTTATATCAGATTGATTGATACGGGCAGATTATTAACTATGAAGAGACTTATCTTGTCATCGTTTCTCCTTTTGGTGCATAACATTTCCTTTCTTTTTTAGTTTCTTTGAGGCTGCATTACTTGTATTATAGTTTATTTGCACTTATTCACCCACTTGAAATTCCCTTTTGAATTTGTTGGCTTCCTTTATTACTGAATAAAGTTTCTCATTTCATGTTTATTATTATTATTATTTCTTCTTTTTCTCCTTCTTCTTCTTCTTTTTCTTCTTCTATTATTATTATTATTATTATTGTTGTTTTTCTCTCAAAAACAGCATTCTATTTATTTTAGTGTCATTATACACACACACACACACACACACACACACACACACACACACATATATATATATATATATATATATATATATATGCTATTATATTGTTGTTATATTCCGCCATTTTCAGGCATAGTATTTCGATCCGTACACTTTATTGAATGCAAGCGAAGTGGCTATTCCATTTTTTTCGCGTTTTCTTAATTTTTCATTGAATAAATGATAATTCAATTTCATCGTTTCTTCTTCTTCTGAGGAGATTGTCCGGTATTTCTTCTGATATTAACAGTTTCTTCTTGTTTCTTCTCTTCTTCATTCTCATTGTCATTCGTTTCTATTATTATTATTATTGTTGTTGTTTTGTTTTTCTTTCGCAACCAAGATCCTATTTATTTTTTTATTATTATCATATATATATATAATCATTCTTCTTGTTATCTATTCCGGCATTTTCAGGCATACTTTTTAGAATTTCGATACGTACACTTTATTGAATGCAAGGGAAGTGGCTATTTCGCGTTTCCTTAATAAGTTTTCATCGAATAAATGATAACTCTTCATTTTTCTTTTTGTTTCCTTCAGGGCGTTGCTCTTCAAAATTTCCTGCCCTTCGTAGCTCTTAATGATTTTTTGTCTTTTCGTTATCTCGCCTAAACCTTGTTCGGCCATTCATTTACTCAAGCCCCCTAAGTAGGTTTTGCATTGTCCACCCCTGTCACTGTTGCCCTAAATCTGCCCTGTGAGTATAAGATTTTTCAAGTCGTCTTTTTTCATTATGTCCTCTAGGTCTGCATTGGATGTCCATCATCGAGATTTGGACAACTTTGAGGTAAATCTGCACGTGTTGTCAGTTCCTTTTTGGAATTAACGTTTGTACGCGTAGTCTATTCCTGTTAAGACTTTGAGTATAATAGTAAGTCTAAGTTTCCTTATTTTTCTCTAAAATTTCGTCGTTGCTTAAAATTTCGGTCCAGGGCATTCTCAGCATCTTTCTGTAAAATCACATTTCTTTTGCTTCAAGTCACGTGAGCATCTGCGTGGAAATTGTCCGGCATTCACTACCATATAAGTAACAGGTCAGTACTCATTTCATTGTTTCATGTTCTTCATCTATGAGGAGATTGTCCAGCATTCACTGCCATATAGGAGGACTCCCACGTAACAGTTCAATATTCTTTTCTTTGTTTCTGTTGTTTCAAATCTCTTCTTCATGTGAGGGACATTGTCCAGCACAAGGGATTGGTACGTAACAGGTAAAACTTTTTTGGTACAATTATCTATACGAGAACAGAAAATTTGTTCCAGGTTTGATGATAAATGACAATATAGTTAAATTCCCAGATCAATTCTTGTAGACAAGACAAATTTAACATGGCAATTGGGAAAACAAAAAATATTGATCTGGTAATTTAACTATATTGGCAACATGGAAAGAAAAAGAAACTTTTAGTATAAAGAAAATTTACATTAGCCAGAAAGAGGCTTACGTATCTTTCTCTCTCTTTCGACTCTTTGTGTCAAAAATACACGCACAAGCACACACACACACACACACACACACACACACACACACACACACACACACACATATATATATATATATATATATGTATATATATAAAGGGTGTTTCATTAAGAAGGATTATATATAAGGGTGTTTCATTAGGAATGATCAAAGTCAGTAGTAAATAAATCAGTGTTATTGGTGAAAATTTATTTATTTCTCTATTGGATCATGTTATTTAAGTCATGGCAATTATGTGCGAAAAATAATATCGCCCAAATGTCCGCCAAATCTGAAAGAAAAAGAAAAAATCATTAGACGCTTAAACTTAATTCAAATTTAAAATTGGTACGAATTACTGGAACACTATAATAAATACGTATGTGAATCAATTGATAGATATGAATAAGCTGTGATAGATGAATAGAAATAGACTTGGACAGACAGCTA